ATTTCATATTTAACACCCTGAGAGAATGTGAAAAGCGAATCCACATATGATTCACTTTTATTCCACACATTCTTAATTGAAGAGACAGAAAGATGCTGTTCTTTACAAAGTAAACTGTCCATCTTAGAGAAGTCATCTGAAAAATAGCAGTCGTTTATATTAAAATCAGTGAAAAAAATCTATGTTTCATATGACTAAATATGACTGCTCCTTTTTAAACCCCAGATAAAGCAGTAGAAAGGCAATATTCTCAGGTCTTTGAACTTGAAGGAAGCTGTAAAACCAAAAGAAACAGAAATGGGCAGGTGAGAGGGACAAAGAGGGAGAAATTGAGGGAAACCCATTAAGTGTGCAGAATATTATTCTGACTGCCACATCCTTGGTTGTTAAATGAATAAATTCTGTTTCCTGCCTAAATTTGGCACACATTCTTACCTTACAAATTTCCTTTATTTTGCTCTATATTTTCTATTTCAAATATAGTTCTGAATTTTAAATTTTATGGATTAGTTTGAAGAACACCTATCTTATTGCAATATATTGCAAGGATATTATCAGAAACTAACATGAGAAATGCAATTGTATTTTTACTGCAATGAAACTCTATTAGAATGACACAGGACTTTTTTGCCACCTAGAAATGTTTCCTTTTTTTCTTTTTGTTGTCACTACATCCAACATTTATTTTTGAAATATATATTATTCATTATAAGAGTTTTCGAGTTCATATTTATTTATCAGTTGTATATATTGTTTTTCTATTTCTTTTTTTGGTGGAGGGAGTCTTTCTTAAAAAAAAATTCTGATATATCCTTTCTTCTAAACTGTTCTATTTTTTCCTAAAAGTAACCCCTTTATTTTGTTAATAAATTAAAATCCAAAGAGCTTTATTCAAGGGTTTCAGACATTTTAAAAATCTGTCCTATTGTAATAAGAAACCTTGGAGACTCATTGAAATAGCAGCAAAGGCACAAGTTTCTTTTTATTATGAAAGATGTTTATGTGAAGAACAAAATAGACAAGAGAAAGTAACTGCTTCAGAATACTTGATGGGCACTTTAATCTTCTATTAATATGCAAATTTTGTTCTTTAGAACCCCAATAAGAGATTTCTTTTTCCACCAGGCTATTTGAAAGTAGTCCTATTCTCCCAAAGGTCCTTCTTGCATGAGTCTAAGTGAAACGGTGTTTTTTATGCTAATTCCCAAGATGCTCTTATATGCATCATTTTCTTTTGAAATTATATGGAGTTTATTGAACCACATTTGTAAAACATTCCACAGTTGATTTCATTCTAAAGATCTCCTTTAATAGAAATGATTCCCCTGTTGATCTGTGTCATAGGAGAATGTTAAAGAAAATCAGTTTTAACAACATGGTAGAAATAAGAAAGGGCTTGTGTACAGAAATGAAGATACCAGCTTGTGAACAGGAAAAGAACAATTTCTGTTGTGTAATTAACCTCATCAAGAATTTGAGCCTACTAGAAACTACTCTGTTGATATTACAAATCACAATTATCAAGTACCACTTCATAAACATATATCTCAAGAATAATCACTAAGGTACATGCCCACAGTCTTTTGGCTTTTTTGGAAACATTTATTCATATTACATTTTATTTCAATACGTTGCCTTTTCAAAAGAGGTTGTGATTACAACAACAATGTCACAACAATTCCTTTATGGGTGTAGAAATTAGGCTGAATAATAAAATTATTTTTATATAGTCATATTGTCCTCCATGCATCAACCACTTCAGTTACCTAGTTTATATTAAAAAGAATAAAACATTTTGCATTATCTCTTCTTGTCTTATTGATAAAGAGGGAAGCCTCAAACACTTTTTCAATATGGTATGCAGACTTTGATCTAATTATTTTTCCAGGGAATGGATATTTATTTACCCACATTGTTAAATAGTTTTAAATAAATTATAATATCTGGAAAAGCTTTGAGTAAATAGTATTTCTTCTGAACTGAAAAGGTTATTATACCTTTTTAAATTTATGTATTTATAGAAGTTATGACCTCTCCTCCTCCAAAATTCATTCTTACTTCAGAAATATTGACTCTTCATTTTTTCTGGCATAAAAATTCCCTTCACAGTAAGTTATGATCCAGGCATAAAATTCAATCTCATCATACCTCTTTTTTAAAACCACAAAACTGTACCCTTCACCTTTATTATCCAATCCATGTACCTGAAATTGGGTTGTAAATGACATATGTTACCTTAAAGATTAAAATCACACTGAAAGAGAAGTTTTACTAACATGAAGGAAAAAGGGGCAGGCTTTCACCTGACATTGTGCCCTTTTAAATATTTTGGAAATATTGGAGATTTGGTTCTAGACCACCACCACAGTAAAGCAAATGTAGGAACAAAGCAAGTCACACAAATTATTTGGTTTTTCAATGCCTGTAAATGTTTACACTGTATTATAGCCTACTACGTGTGCAAAATTATGTTTAAAAAATAATGTGCATACCTTAATTTCAAAATACTTTTATTGCTAAAAATTCTAACAATCATCTGAGCCTTTGGTGAGCCCTAATCTTTTGCTGGTGGAGGGTCTTGACTTGATGTTGATGGCAGCTGAACAATCAGGGTGATGGTTGCCTAAGGTCAGGGTGCCTGCCGTAATTTCTTAAAATAAAACAATAAAGTTTGCAACATTGCTTGATTCTTCCTGTCATAAAAGAGTTCTCTGTCATTTGAACACGTTTTATCCGCAGTAGAACTTCTTTTAAAATTAGAGTCAGTCCTCCCCAACCTTGTTACTGCTTTATCAACTCAAGTTTTCATAATGTTCTAAGTCCTTTATTGCCATTTCAACAATGTTCACATCTTCTTCACCACGAAGAGATTCCATCTCAGAAATCATTTTATTTCTTCATCCATGAGAAGCAACTCCTCATCTTTTCAAGTTTTACAATAAGAATGCAGCAATTCAGTTACATCTTCAAGATCTACTTTTAACTCTAGTTCTCATCATTTTCACTTCATCTGCAGTTACTTCCTCCACTGAAGTCCTGAACCCCTCAAAATCATCAATGAGGTTGAAATCAATGTCTTTCAAAGTCCTCTGACATCAATATTTTGACATCCTCCCATGAATCTCAAACGTTCTTATTGGCATCTGGAATGTTAATTCCTTTCCAGAGATTTTCTATTTACTTTGCTCAGATCCAACAGAGGAATCACCATCTAGGACAGCTGTAGCTTTATTAAATGTATTTCTTAAATAATAGGACTTGAAAGTCAAAATTACTCCTTGGTCCATTGACTGCAGAATGAATATTATGTTAGCAGGTATGAAAACAATATTTATTTTCTTGTACATCTTTAGAAGAGATCTGATATGACAAGGTGCATTGTTAGTGAGCAGTTGTACTTTGAAAACTACCTTTCTTCTGAGCAGTAGGTCTCAACGGTAGGCTTAAAATATTCGGTAAACCATGATATAAACAGATGTGCTATTATCCAGGCTTTGTTGTTCCATTTATAGAAGACAGGCAAAATAGATTTAGTATGATTCTTAAGAGCCCAAGAATTTTCAAAACGGTAAATGAACATTAGCTTCAACTTAGTCACCAGCTGTGCTGGCCCCTAATAAGAAAGTCAGCCTGCCCTTTGAAGCTTTGAAGCCATGCGTTAACTTCTCCTCTCTAGCTGTAACCGTTTTAGATGGCAACTTCTTCCAGTGGAAGGCTGTTTGGTCTACATTGAAAATCTGCTGTTTAGTGTAACCACTTTCATCAACAATCTCACCTTGATCTTCTGGATACTTCTTGCAGTTTTCTGTCAGCACTTGTTGCTTCACCTTGCACTTTTATATCATGGAAACAGTTTCTTTCCTTAAACCACATGAACCAACCTCTACTAGCTTCACACTTTTCTGTAGCTTCCTTGCCTCTGTCAGCCTTCATAGAATAGAAGAGTTAGGGCCTTGCTCCGAATTAGGCTCTGGCTTAAGGGAATGTTGTGGCCTGTTTGATCTTCTATCTGAACCACTAAAACTTTTTCCATATAAGCAATAAGGTTGTTGTACTTTCTTATCATTAGTGTATTCAGTAGAGTAGTAATTTTAATTTCCTTCTGGAACTTTTCTTTTACATTCACAACTTTGCTGTGTGTCACGAGAGGCCTAGCTTTCTGCCTGTCTTGGCTTTCAACATGCCTTCCTCACTAAAGTTAACCATTTCTAGGTTTTGATTTAAAGCACGGGTGTCCAATCTTTTGGCTTCCCTGGGCCACATTGGAAGAAGAAAAAGAATTGTCTTCGGCCACACATAAAATATACTAACACTTAATAACCGATGAGCTTTAAAAAATTGCAAAAAAAAAAAACCTCATAACTTTAAGAAAGTTTACATACTTATGTTGGGCCACATTCAAAGCTGTCCTGGGCTGCAGGCAGCCCACAGGCTGTGGGTTGGACAAGGGTGATTTAAAGTGAGAGATGTGTGACTCTTCCTTGTACTTGAACACTTAGAGGACAAATTTCAATATTGTTGTATTACAGAGATCGGCGGGGGGCCTGAAGGCAGGGAAAGAGATTGAATAATGGCTTGTTGGTAGAGCAGTCAGAAGACACACAACACTTATTGATTAAATTTGCCATCTCATAGGGATACAGTTGAGGTGCCCCAAAACAATTACAATAGTCACATCAAAGACCACTTATCACCAATAACTCCAGCAGATACAATAATATAGAAAGCAATGAAATATCGCGAGAAGTACTAAAATATGACACAGAGACATCAAGTAAGCACATGCTGTTAGTAAAATGTGTTGATGATCTTGCTCAATTCAGGAGTGCCGCAAACCTGCAATCTGTAAAAGATGTAACACCTGTGAAGCACAATAAAGCAAAGTGCAATAAAACAAGGTATGTCTATAATTTCCCTTTGACTAAAGAGTCTTTCCCCGTCTTTTATACTTGGAAAGATTCCTCAGGATATAAGCCATATACCTTCCCCCTCTTACAGACCTTTCCTTGATCCTTCCACTCTCTTCAGGTAAAATGGATCATTCCATCTGTTGAACACAAATAAAACAATAAAAATTACTCACAGTGTCTCTTACATATCTCTATCCCAATAGTTAATACATAGATTTGTAAACTTTTTGTTTACATGCCAATTTCCTCTAATAAAGTGCAGCCATCTGTCTTTTTTATCTTTTTAATCTCGAGAACATACTTAAGACTCAATAATTTACTTGCCTAGCCAGTGTATGGGCTACACTACCACTGTTTTAAAAATGAAAATGTGTAGGGGTAAAGTTTCAGGGGTAGAACTTATCCTCATCTCTATAATGTTTTCTGACTAGGTTAGTTGTAAAATCTAAAGATCTATTGGTGCTATTTTTAAATGGAAAGCTCACTTTTACAGTGTAAATATTAGGTAGAGTTCTAGTGGTATAATCAATTATATAGTGTTAGGTTCATTAGAAAGAAAAAAAATCCCTACAGCACTGAAATCTATAGCAACTCCTTCAAAATTTGCCAGTTGAGATCTATAGAACTAGCCTGACAATGAAAAAAAATCATTTCTTAGCAATAAAAATTGTGGTGTATTGATAAAGAATACTTTAAATCTCCGCAGATTTAACAAACAGTACCTACTGCTTTGGAACCTAGATGCAGTGAAAAGCATGTGATTTTAGCAATAGCAAGCAACAGGAACTAACACTAGTCACACACAAAAATTGATGGAGTGGGTTTGAGGATTGGTTTAGAAAGCACAGAGCTGACTGAGTTATTGCCACTTGGTGCAGCCAGTACATTAGGGATAATAGCTGTGCAGACCCTGGATAGTTATAGATACTAGCTCAGCAGAATCTAATCTCACCTAGAGAGAAATATTTATATTTGGTATACAAGTTTTTTTCAAAGGCATGAAAAGAGAGTCCACAATACACGTTTGGATGGAATTTCTTCCATGGATGAGAGTAAAAAATACTATCTTAAATGGATTACCTGTGGGCATTAGAACCTGGGAGCTAGCAAAGCTACTAGCCGAAACCTTGATCAAAATGTAGCCATTACAACTGTGTTTCCTGAGATAAATCAGAGTAAAAAATCCAATACAGTGCACACAATAGCATCCCTGAGAAAGCTCTCACCATGCAGATATGATCCGCTTAGGAATAAAGGATGTGTCTAATATATTTAGCAACAATTAATGCTGGCTTTTGTCATCATCTTTGAAGTTGAAGTAGTTGGCCTCTGTCAACCCTTGTCTTCAAAGTTAAGAATTTGTCATATTTAAGTTTTTCAACCATGACTAAATGCATTCCTTAAGGATATGTGTTCCTACTACTGAACTTTCTTAGAAAATTGGTGGGCCTGCAAAGTAAATTATAATTTTCAATGATTTTCCTGATAAAACAACAAACTTTTGCTTTATGCACTAGGAACTTCCTTAGGAAAGAGAAACTAGAGAGAATTAGGTAAATTTCTTCTCTCATTATACAGTGATATGCATTAAAAATAAAATAATCAATGATGACAGTTTGAAATTATTTCTACAATCTGGAGCATTAGATTCACCATTTGCGCTCTGTGCTCATTTCTACTGAAGCTCAAGGCTGGAGAAATAATGTTTAAACCTGTAGTCAGAGAGAAAAGGTAAGTCTAGAAACAGATTTAGAAAACAAACTTTGCATGTACCAGAATGGAAATACATGAACTTTTAAGGACAAGCCCCATCAGAGTAAGAATAATCCCAAAGTGTAACAAATGACACGACATAGTGAGTCTTGTTTTGGTAACATCAAGCATAATATTTTACATACTATTGGTAAAGAGACAACTGGGTGTTTGTTGAGGTATTGAGTTCATGTTGTCATGTATACTACAGGGAAATTTCTCATTAAATGACAAATTCTTCAGATAGCTTGTAATGTCCTTACCAGCCAACCAGAGAATTAAATTGCTACCCATGCTTAGCAAAGTTCAACAGGGCAGTTACGGGGTCAAATTTTCTAGGACCTTTGTAGCTAATTAGTAGGAATTCAAAGGTTATTCTCTGGAACTCTAAGGAAGTTGCTGACTTGTCTCTATTTCTCCTTTCTGGCACTCTTTCCCATAAGCTAAGGTATTTTATGATACTTTTGTTTCATTTCTACCATTTAGATCCTATTGTGAAGCTACACTTGCAATGCAACTTCAAATACAAAACCACTTTTTCTAATCCAAAACAGAAATAAATTTGATTCATAAAAGGTTAATGGGACATTTTTGAGATGCTGCATACATATTGGGAACTCTTTCTGCTTATAGGTTAGTAATTTATCTACCCACCGGTAACTGTTAACCATGTACAGAGGCCTATCTATTGTGTAGTAATAGTATTACTGTCACATAATTTTATTAGTTCCTCAAAACCACTTTGGAGATGATTGCTCAGAATTCTGGGATCAGGGATACAAGTATCTTGTCTTATCCCAATTAGAGAGGGACAATCTTTTAAACAAATGACACTCCTAATCCATGTATAGCTAGCATCACCAAAATCAAACTTGTTTTTTCCTTTTGTTTTTGAGACAGTTTCAGTCTTGTCACCCAGACTGGAGTGCAATGGTGTGATCCTGGCTCACTGCAACCTCTGCCTCCTGGATTCAAGCAATTCTTCTGCCTCAGCCTCCCAAGTAGTGGTGATTACAGGCATGCACCACCACACACAGCGTATTTTGTATTTTTAGTAGAGATGGGGTTTCACCATGTTGGTCAGGCTGGTCTTGAACTCCTGACCTCAGGTGATCTGCCTGCCTTGGCCTCCCAAAGTGCGGGATTACAGGTGTGAGCCACTGCACCCAGCCCAAAATCAAACTCTTGATTACACCAACTCCATGTCCATCCCAAGCCATTCCTTCTCTATTCCCCATTTCAGTATGTGATATACAACACCCAGTTGCTCCAGACAAAATCTTTGAATTATCATTGATTCTTGCTTTGCCCTCAATTTTCCCATTCAAACAATCAACAAGTCCTGTTAGTACTATTACCAAAATATATCTTGAACCCATCTATCTATCTTCATAGTCAATACCTATGATTTCAACCTCATTATTACAATCATCTCCTACACTGCCTACTTCTACCCCTGCCTGCCTATAATATGTCCTTTGCCTGCTGTTGTTTGGGATTCAAAATGCAAATCCGCTAATCTTTCTCAGCTTTAGAAAACCCTTATGTGACTTATCATTGAACCTTGGATAAAATCAAACTTCCTTATAGCAATGCAACTTCAAGTGTGTTTTATGAACTGGTGCCAATCTATGAAATGATAAGTATAAAAATTAAGATAAATGACGAGTTAATGGGTGCAGCACACCAACATGGCACATGTATACATATGTAACAAACCTGCATGTTGTGCACATGTACCCTAGAACTTAAAGTATAATAATAAAAAAAAAGATAATCATTTAGAATGTTTATACTAATTTGACAGTACTATGACATCTATCTATGGGAGCAGTGAACTCGTTGTGTTGCAATAGTATAGACCAGTTCCAGTGTTGCTGGGATCATAGGTTAGGTTGTGTGTGGTTTGGTGGGCACACAGGTTTTGAAGAATATACCCCCATGTCATTCCACTACAAATCATAGATTTTAAGAGAATAGTCTTTCACCACAAAGAGTTTGAGAAACTCTTTCTGCCATCTGTAATCTGGTACCAGCCCCTTTCCATTCCTTCTTGGACCACTTGCCTCCTCCTTTTCTGTACTGGACCACAGGAGCCTTCTGACTTCCAAAACAGTTAAAGATCTTTCTCCCCTCAGCCTTTTGCACTTGCAGTTCCTCGTGCCTGTAATAATCATCATCCCATCCCATCAATTGCTTTGATATACTCTTACATATAAGACTTCTCTTTGTACCTTCTGTTTAGAGAAATTCCACATGCTTTTTTTCTTCCACAAATGTTCTTTTTCCAATTTCCTCTCTTGTTTTGAAGAACTGTCTGTTTCTTTTCATTTGCTTTGAAGACTTTTTTTTCCTTCTTTTTTTTTTTTTTTTTTCTTTTCTTTACTACTCCCTTGTCTTTAGCAGTTGTCTTCTAGGACATGCTTCTGAACATGAAGTGGTTTCTTTCTGCTTTATGTCTTTGGGCTGACATGCGTCCATTTCATTCTTTCAGCATTCTGAAATACAGCGAAAAAAAGGCATATTTCTTTTCCACTTTTCCAAAGCTCAGCTCATTTCAGTTAGACAATCAAGTTGTTGCCAAAGTTTGCCTTTGTTGCTCTGCCGACATGAAGAGGGGAGTATTCTGAGTGTCAAGTGTAAAACAGTCCAGTTTGTGAGAAAAAAGACAGGCAGAGATTACTGTAACATAGGGAGACAAGGAGTGAGGGGAAAACTAAAAAGGAAACCAATAAGAAGAACAAATGGCAGCTCCAGACAAAGCTATACATTTCTAGCATCATTTAATACTATGAAAAGCTAATATATATTCCTTAGGTTCTTCATTGATTTAAAACTTTAATAGTACATTTATGGACCTCAACCAAAATGAATTGCTGACCTTTGATTTTGATATTGTTTTAGGTGTTCTGCAGGACTAGATACAATCCCTGCAGAAAATAAAACTAAGTCTTGGGTGAAATCCATGTGAGAATAATTTCTTGTCAATATATGACTTTGAAAAAAATTGCAATTAAATATACTGGATTGATTCATGTAATAATACTTCATGGAAGGTTATTTTTTCCAATTAAATCTACCATTCCAAAACCCATTGCAAGCATTACTAAACTCAAGGATTTTTATAGACAGGTGCAAATTATTTAAAGATCTCTCTTTTTAAAAATTTAAGTGCTATAATTCTTGGGGGTGTAATAAACAGTAGGAAATGTTAAATTTCCTAGTTCAATACAGAAAAGGAAATTTTGCAATTCTTTGATTTTTAGGAATATTACTACAGGGAAAAGAATAGCATGTGTCTACAAGCAGCCAAGCTGTTGATTACTAGACTAAGCAGTATTTAATGAAAAAAAAAGGAAAAAAAATAGAAATAGGCTGGGTGTGGTGGCTCACACCTGTAATCCCAGAACTTTGGGAGACTGAGGCAAGAAAATTGTTTTAGCTCAGGAGTTCAAAATAAGCCTGGGAAACATAGCAAGACCCAGTCTCTACTAAGATTAAAAATAAAAATCAGTTGGTCATGGTGGCACCCGCTTGTCGTCCAAGCTACCAGGGTGGCTAAGGTGAGAGGATCACTTAAGCCCAGGAGATTGAGGCTGCATTGTGCTGTCATCATGTCACTGCACTCCAGCCTGGGTGACACAGCAGCCCTTATGCAAAAAAAAAAAAAAAAATTGAAAAAGGGTAATAAACAATGCTTTAATTTGATAACAGTGACATTATTAAAGACGGAATGGGGAACAGAAAAAGGCTGAATCTTTGTCCCGGTGCTTCTTTTCCAGGGCCAATGTCATATCAGGAAGGTATTGTGCCAAAGGTCAGAAGAAATGTTGGGATAAACTACCCCATCTTATTCCAAATGATGAAATTCTCTTGCTAACTGTTCTGTTTCCTCCTCTTCCATTGTCACCGGAATGCTACCATTCACTCTCACCTGGACCACTGCAATAGCCTCCTTTCTGTCTCTTAACTTCCAAATGTATCTTTCTCTAATTTGTTATTCTCCTTCAATCACTGTTTTTTTGTGCAAGATATAAATTGATCTGCTTAAATCTGTCAGTACTTTCCAATTGCCGGTATACTATTTCTTTAGCCATAGAAAGGACATAGGATGCAAAGTCTGGCCCTCACGTCTCTGTAACGCTCTCTATAACTCATTCTATCCCATTCTTTCTTGGTTTTCCATGTGCCATTTTAAGGGGTGGGGGGGTTCTGAATAAGAACCCCCCAAAAAAGAGGAAAGGAGGAGGGGTAGGAGAAAAAGGAGGAAGAAGGGGAAAAGAAAAAGAGGAAAGAAGAAGAGGAGGAGGAGATGAAAGAGGAAGAGAGAGAAAAGGGGAAGGGGAGGAGAGGGAGAGAAAAGAGAAGAAAGGAAAGAAATGGGAGGGCATGGGGGATAGAGGGAAGGGGAGGAGGAGGAGAGGAGGAGGAAGGAGAGGAGGAAGAGTGAAAGAGAATTTAAATAGGAGAGAATGGGGTAGTGTTGAGGAGTATTTGAGAAAAGATCTGTTTCTTGTTTGCTTCCCAAATGGTAAGTTGGCTGAGTACTAAGATCATATCTATTTTTCCCATCATCGAATACTTAGAGCCTAGCATGGTACCTGACACATAATAGACACTCAATAAATATATACTCATGAATGCATTTATTCTAAATTTGCAAAATCTAGTGAAATGGCTTATTCCTTTGTAATTACTTTTCAGCACTTTTGTCTATTGAACAGCAACCTAATGTCATTTATAGAAATCACAAAAGATACAAAGGAAGAAGTATAAGGTAGTGAAAATCAATAATATTGACACCTTCCAAAGAATAATTATGACTAAATATATCTTTTGGAAATTGCACTAGTCAAACTTTGTTTTCTGCCTTTCTTATCCTATTTTTTAAGTCATACTATATGCAATGATAGGTTGTTCCGATTTCTTCCAATAGTATAACATAGATATTTTCAATATGGCATACATTTATTTAAAAAAAAAAAAACTTTCATTGGATAAATAATATCTCTGGATCACTTATTTTAGCTTCAAATAATTTGAAAAAAAAATGACTTTTTATCTTAGTGCCTCCTATACTTACTCTGCCCCCATATCCATCCCCACTGCCAACGACATGATGTTTGACAATGGACAGTTGAAAGGAAATTCTCTAATTTCTTCATGCACCTGTTTACACTGGTTGGAAGTGCCATGGTTAATCTGAACAACCCCATTTTGTAGAATCAGCCAGATCCCTTGAATATGTCCAAAACTTTTCTACCTGATATGGAAGAACCTCTCTGCACCCCATCAGACTCTTTTAACAAGCAGAGCTCTACTGCCAGGAAAAAAATGAGCAATAGATGAAGCCAGCTTTTCTCTTTTTGTCTCTATCTTCTTACCTCAAAGTAAGGAATTTCCTAGATCTGCTATATGGACAGGAAATAATAACATACATGACTGCCTCTACCCTCAGGTCATTGGTCCCGGAGCCTCAAGAAAGAAAACACTGAACAAAAAGCAGTCTTATTTAAGACCTTATATTTTAAGTGCAGAAGTATGCTGGTTACATTTATTTTCTATTTTAAAAATGGAAATTTTTGAAAAGATTTACATAATGGTAAGAAAGATTGTTTATAACATCATCAAGTTAAAAGCAAGAAATAAAATTCTATTTTCAGCAGCATACTATATTTAAGTGCACAGTACATGGAGGCAGTTTGCCTGAGTTTGTATCCTAAATCTGCAACTTACTAGCCTTGTAATCTTGGGCAAATTACTTAAACTCTTTCTGCCTCAGTTTCTTTCTGTATTCTTAATTGAGGTGAAATTCATATAACACAATTAACCATTTTTCACTACACAATTCAGTGACACTTAGTGCATACACAATGCTTTGCAACCATCACCTCTCTCTAGTTTCAAAACTATTTTCATTACCCCAGAAAAGCACTGTATCACATTGAGTTATTCCATACTACCTTCTCCCCTTCATTTCCTAGCAATTAATTTATTTTCTGTCCCTTTTTACACATTCTAGATATTTCATATAAAAGGAATCATATAATGCATAAGCTTTTCACCTGGCTTCTTCACCTAACATAATGTTTTCAAGTTTGATCCACATTGCAGAATTTAAAAAAGCAGTATGTACTCCATTATTTTCCATGGCAGAATAATATTCCATTGTACAGCTATACCAAATTTTGCTTATCTATTTATCCATTAATGAACATTGAAGTTAATTTGTTTAATAGTCCTTATCTTATAGGGTTCTTATGAAGATCTAACTAATTAATATTTGGACAGTACATAAAATATTGCTTGTTTCTATGTTTCTTAAAATGGATATAGTTCTATACTTGTAACTGTATATGTTATTCATATTTGTATATTTATGGAAATCACTGGTCAAAAATATGCCAAATAGATAACAATTACTTTCCTAACTGTTGATACTGTGAATGGCTTTTATATTTTCTGAGGGTTTTATACTTTTTGAAATTTTAAATAAATGTATCCCTTTTACGTAAAATACATAAAAATTAAAATCTATTTAGAATTTGTCTAATAAACAAATAGTTTCGTGAGTATATGTGCACATGGAATTTAATGTTCTTTTTAAACTATATTTTTGTATTTTCCAGTGGCAATTGTCCTATGTAAAATTTGACCTAGATATTGTCTGCAGCTATCTTTTCCTGTGTGTTATTGCAGTTCTAAAGCTTATGATTTGAGAAACCTCTTGTCCAGGACCCTCAGCCTCCTCTATCTTATCTAGCACCCATGAGGGTATATTGTTGGTGCTCCAGAGAGAGCATCATCAGGTTGAAAGCTGCATCACAGAGCCACACTGCAGTGGCTGGTATGAGTCACTTTTTCCTAAAGGGACCATTACACTGACCCTAAACAGGCTGGTATCGGTATTGATATCCGTTCTACTAAGTGTTGAAAACTGCAAGTGAGGCCCATTGGCTGCCAGTAGGAGTGAGAAAGAGGAGAACAGCAGTGGTTATAGACTCATCCATTATAAGTGTAACCCATGACAGCATGTAACCTACTCATCCTAAGTCCATGTTGCAGAAACCCAGTGTAAAGCTTCTGGTGTCTTCTTTAGACAATAGCCTAGTAATTGTACTATACCTTAGTGTCTTGTAGAATGAAACTTAGGATATAGAAAACAAATACCCTACTTTTCCTTTTGTGATTGAAACCAGTTATATAATGTCAGAAAACTACATAATACCTTTAATATGCATATATGAAATTTACAGAATAGTCTCTCTACTCCTTGATTGTGTATCCAGAAAATAAATACATGCCACTTAATTATAAGATCTGGCTTTTTGTGGTACCCATATTCAGATGCTCTATTCTCCACTGTACTGAACAGAATAGGCCAAAGTGATACTCTGTGACGCATGCAAAAACAAGTTAGGTGCATCACTTTTTTTTTCTGATTTTCTACAGCATTTTTTGAAACACTATGTCAAAAATAATTTCTATCATTATCACTTGAGACTATATAAAAATTTCTGCATGCTGTCCTTTGCAATTCATTTCTATCAATAAATATATTTCTACTGGACCTTAAAAAGTATGGCTGTTGCTTTCTTTCTTGTGACTACTATGAATAAAGGGTGGAGATTAAACCAGAAACAACTGGAACATTTTCATAAAACTGAAGAGTTATGTCAATAATAATATCCCTAAAAACTAACCAGACTTCTTGAAAACAATATGAAGTAAAAAGAGAGGGCCAGGCCGGGCGCGGTGGCTCAAGCCTGTAATCCCAGCACTTTGGGAGGCCGAGACGGGCGGATCACGAGGCCAGGAGATCGAGACCATCCTGGCTAGCACGGTGAAACGCCGTCTCTACTAAAAAAGTGCAGAGAACTAGCCGGGCGAGGTGGCGGGCGCCTGTAGTCCCAGCTACTCGGGAGGCTGAGGCAGGAGAATGGCGTAAACCCGGGAGGCGGAGCTTGCAGTGAGCTGAGATCCGGCCACTGTACTCCAGCCCGGGCGACAGAGTGAGACTCCGTCTCAAAAAAAAAAAAAAAAAAAAAAGAGGGCCACTTTCAGAGAAACCAAGTATCTTCTTACTCTTTTTCATTTTAATTAAAATGAATGAAAAAAATTGAGATAGGAGAAATCATACCTCACTTTCTACATAGTCCTTCAGGCAAGTTTACTAAATGACACTGGGCAAAATTGAATAAAGGATCTTATAAATTACACTCCTGGAATTCATGACATGATCTCATATCTCACCAGTGCAATGTTGCATAAGGCTGCAGGAAATCGCCCAGTTCTGTGGTACCATTGTATACTATTATTAGGAACAATGTAACAATTCAAAGTACATCACATTAAAAAGGTTCAATGACTTTACCATATCAAAAGGCCCCTTGAGGCTGGGTGTGACGGCTCATGCCTGTAATCCCAGCACTTTGGGAGGCCGAGTTGGGTGGATCACCTGAGGTCAGGAGCTGGAGACCAACCTGGCCAACATGGTGAAACCCCGTCTCTACTGAAAAAAACAAAAATTAGCCAGGCGTGGTGGCAGGTGCCTGTAATCCCATCTACTCTGGAGGCTGAGGCAGGAGAATCACTTGAACCTGGGAGACAGAGGGTTCAGTGAGCCGAGATCACACCATTGCACACCAGCCTGGGTGACAGAGTGACACTATGTCTCCATCCAAAAAAAAAAAAAGAACCCTGAAATATCACGTTATATCATGTATCATGTCATGTTAGATTTTTTTTTAATTTTCATTTCAGTATGAATTTAACGAATAATCACCAAAATCCAAATATGCCTAACTCTATATGAGGTAAACATAAGTTAGTATTTTGGCAAAAGCAAGTGTAAGTAAACGATTAAGATAGCATATATGTCAAAGATTTGTGGAAAAAAATTGTTCTGTTCTTTCATAGAGACGGATAAATGGAGGTAAAGCTACTCACCTAGTGTGTATCTGCCAAAGGTCAACTCAAAGAACCCATGGAGCACACATGTTCTTTCCCATGACCCCAGTTCTCATTCTCCACATTGAAGCCAGAATGAATTTTCTAAGCATGATTAAGCTTCTGTTATTCCCTGGCTTACAGATGGCTTTCAATCATAAATAAATTCAAATTCTTTTTCTTGCCCATAAGGATCAATATCTCTGTCCCCTGCCTGCCACTCTGAATTCATCTTGCACTGCCTTCTGCACTAGTCACTGTGCTCTGGCCAGCTAGGCTTTCTGATCTGGACATGATTAGCTCATGTACGCCTAAGGGCCACCCAGTTACTCTCCTATCACTTTGCCTTATTTTCTTCCCAGAATTTATTAACAGAAAACTCATTATCTTCCCATATTGGCCTCCCAGCTAAATTTCAAGAGTAAGACTTTTGCCTATCTTACCTAATTCTTGCTACATAGTAGATTCTCAAATAATATTTGTGCTCTGGATAACCATATATAATAACCAATGACTTTGTATCCAATTTTTCAGAAAATTCCTCCAATACGTAATTATCCAAGTGTGGAATTGAACAGCAATTGTAAGAAGAAAAGAACTGGGCCGGGCACGGTGGCCCAAGCCTGTAATCCCAGCACTTTGGGAGGCCGAGACAGAAGGATCACGAGGTCAGGAGATCGAGACCATCCTGGCTAACATGGTGAAACCCCGTCTCTGCTAAAAAATACAAAAGAACTAGCCGGGCGAGGCGGCGGGCGCCTGTAGTCCCAGCTACTCCGGAGGCTGAGGCAGGAGAATAGCTTAAACCCCGGGAGGCAGAGCTTGCAGTGAGCTGAGATCCAGCCATTGCACTCCAGCCTGGGCGACAGAGCGAGACTCTGTCTCAAAAAAAATAAAAAATTAAAAAAAATTAAAAATTAAAAAAAAAAATGGATCAGGATCTCTTCTGATTACTTTTAAGATATAGTCTTAGTGAAAGTGAACACCCTTAATAGAAAAAAAAATGCACATAAAGCCAAGAAGGAAGCAAGGCCAAGACAACAGCAGAAACATGGCAGAAAACAAATAGCCCTCTCCCACTAATCGTACTTTAGGATCCTGTGGACACATTGGTGAGAAGTGGAAATGTTTCCATAAGCCAAATTTTTTTGTATATTGAAATTACAAAACATTCTATTCTTTAAAATGAATTCTAAGGACTAACACAATGACACTTCAGAAAGAATATCAAGATCTTAGCAACTCAAAACACACACAGGTTATATTGTATGAATGAGAAAAGATCAGCCAATAGTTGTGTTTAGTCACATAACTACTTAGTATGCAACTATAATGTTTCTTTTTAAAACTATACTACTAATCTTAAAATTATTTTACTTTTAAGCATACAACCACATGTGTCCACACACAGGCGATATAAATTATGACCTTGAACAAATTAACTTGTTTGTATCTCAGTTTTCTCATCAGCAAAATACAGAAAATAGTACTCACCTCATAAAGTTGTTAAAAGTATTAAATAACTTCATACATGTAGAGCACCTAGAGGAGATCATGACACAAGAATATAAATTAACTAACTATTTAAAAATAGATTTTGGAAACACATGAAATATGCATATTCTCATTAGACTGTAGTTATTGTATCATGTATACCAGTAGTAAACATTCAGTAACGACTTAATGCCTAACCAATCATAAGTATTTACATTAATCTGGAAAAGGGATCACAAACACTTAAGAGAAAATGATTTAAAGAACAAATATAGAGAGGTTAATCTAGTACTAATAAAATCAATCCATTCATAAGATTAAGTTAATTCAATCCTAAGGGAAAAACACACTAATAGCATTAGTAAAATGCTTAGCAGTTAACAAGCATTTTCACACACATTATCTCATTTAAGCTCCATAATTATACTTATGATGACTAAAATTTAAAGTGTTTATGGGATTTACTTGTGATCACATTTCTAATAAATACTGATGCCATTCCAAATCCTGGACAGGTGTTGCTTTCATAACATTTTATATTTCCTTCAAATTCACTAAAGAAAAAGCACACAAACTATGATAGTTTCATTTCATATTATTCTTTCAATAAATATGTATTCAATACCTACTATGTGCCAAGCATTATTCTAAGTATAGGAGATAGAGTGGTTTTAAAAAAGTCAAAATATCTTGCCTTTAATAGAATTTATTCTCTACATTCTAGTGCAGAAAATAGACACTCCAAAAGATAAGTAAAATAATGAAATTTTAGATGGTGCTAAATGCTATATAGAGTCAAAAAATCAGAAAAGGGAGTTAAGGTGTGCCTGAGAAATGAGGGTGTTATGACTTTAAAAAAAAAAAAAAAGTCAGTATGGTGTTTAGGAAGTCCTCACTAACAAGGTGATATTTGATAAAATACTTTAAACTAGCTTTGTAGGCCTTGTAGATATTTTGAGGAAGCTCATGTCAGTCAAAGAGAAAACCCACATAGAAGAGTGTCTGACATTTTTAAGGACATCAATGGACTACAGCCAAATGAGTGAGGAGTGAAGCAAGAGAAAAAGTCAAAAAGGTTATGGGAAGCCAGATCAGTTATGACCTTCTTGGTCATTGTAAAACCTTTGGTTATTTTCCAAGTGAGATGGGAATGGAGAATTCCAGGAAGAGGAGTGTCATAACTTGAATATGTCTCAAAAGAATGACAACATGATGACTCCTGCTGGCGAGCTGACTGGAGTGAAGGGAAGCAGGGAGGTGACAAGGACAAAAGATCAATATTAGAAGACTACTGCTGTAACCAAGGGGAAAGATGAGGATGGCTTGATGCAAGGAATTAGCAATGAAGGTGGTAGGAATAGGTGGATTCTGAATATATTTAAAAGGTAAACTCATTAAAATTGGATGGCAAATGAGATATGAGGTATAAAAGAAAGAGAAAAGCCAAGGATGATTTAAGTCTGATCCCCTAAAAGAATGGAGTTCCCATTAACTAAGATGGGACAGTCTACTGGGAAGTCAGGCTTGGGCAGGGATATGCTTTATTTCAGACATGTAAAGTTTGAAATTCAAATTAGATAGTTAAGTGGAGGTGTTGAGTAGGCAATTGGATATCTACATCTACAGTTCAGAAAAAGGTTCAAACTAAAATTATAAATGTAAAATATATATGTATATATATGCCAAAAATATACATATACACATGCATGCACATGCCCACACACACACACACACACACACACACACAGACACACACATATATTTAAGACTGAGCCTGGAAGAGAACAGCAAAGGGGGAAGAATACAGAAGGGAGGCTAGGAGCAGTGGCTCACACCTGTAATCCAAGCACTTTGGAAGGCCGAGGCGGGTGGATCACCTGAGGTCAGGAGTTTGAGACTAGCCTGGCTAACATAGTGAAACCCTGTCTCTACTAAAAATACAAAAATTAGCCAGGCATGGTGGTGGGTGCCTATAATCCCACATACTCAGGAGGCCAAGACAGGATAATCACTTGAACCCAGGGAGTGGAGGTTGCAGTGAGCCACTTCATTCCAATTCAGCCTAGGTGAAAGAGCAAAACTCCATTTCAAATAAAAAAATAGAGAAAGGAACCATGGTCAAAGACCAAGCCTGGGACTTTTCATATTAAAATGTGGGAGGGAGAAGGAATCAATAATTTGTTCCACATGGCCATTGATGTCAGCAAAACTTATTTAGAGGAGAGTGAGCAATCATTAAGTGAAATGCATGCAATGAGATATATATATAATGGTTCACTAAAGAAAACTAGAGAAATGTTAGTCAACCCCAAGTCCTATATTTTCACCATTTATCTAGGGTTCATAGGCAAAATGGCAAAATAATACAATTTATAATGCACAAAAAATTATGAAAAAAATGAAAATGTGATATTATAACAGAAACCTTATGACTAAATAACTTATATTTTTTCTTCACATTACACCCAATGCAAGGTAAGTGGGAGCGGTGAGCAATTTCAGTCAATGTGGCACCAGGAGATAACACTGAGAACACATGAAAATGGTAAAAAGGGCTCAGCTTTTTCCTCTGTCCTTATAGATCTTACCATGGTCATTTTAGCTTGGAAAGAACCAGTCTTATAAATTTCCTTCACCCCAAAAATGATGCATAAATTGTTCCAACTATGATTCTATGTAGCCTTAAATGTATTTTGCTAATTTTGGAAGATATTCAGAAGTAGGACATCAAGCAACCAGCCTAATTATTTTTTGAAGATAATCATCGCTACTGCAACACATACATTTGCTATTTGCCAAAGTCACCACCCAAGCTCCCTTAGAACATTATTTTTATTTATCAAATAATCTGTTTATAATTAAAACATAATTCTGAAGTGATTAAGAGATTTGTGTTTTTTTTTTCTAACTTAAAAAGGATAAAGGTTTGAATGGTGGTGGTAATGGTAATATTCATAAAAGTTATAAGGTAGTTGTTCCAACTGAGAAAGGGTTAGAAAATTTGAGAAAGAAGAGCTCTGCCAGAAGGGCCGATGTGAAGGTTTCATGTAAGGAAGTAAGAAATATCCCTTTGAATGTAAGTTTTGTTCAAACCACAATGTTTTTTTTTTTTTTTTCTTCTATCCTGCTTTCTATTTAATCATTCAAGATTAATAAAAACAGAAAAAGAACAGATGCAACCCCAGAAATACAGACTGAACACTTTCCAGTGATTCATTTTGTAAGCAAATTCACCAATATAATTTTCTCTGTTATTTATATCAATGCAGATCAATTTATACTTAAAACATACTGCTCTTGCCACTTACAAACTGACAGAAAGAAACCAAAAGATACAGATGATCTCTCCATATGACTGCCAGACAAGCATTCAAGAATGGGCCCTAAATGCTGCCTTGGATATCACTTTTTACAGCATGACAATATGTATGTCCCACTTCAAGTTCAAATTGTTATAAAATATTTATCACCATAAAAATAAAATTGAAATTTATAAAGATAACTGAGAATCAAATCGTACTCTAAAAAAATTTCCTGGGGTCTCAAGTTATCCCTTTATTTAACATTCTCACGAATATATTGTTGTCTAAAAGCAACATCACAGGATGTCTGTCATTTTTGCTTTGTTCCACAAAGTAAAAAATACTTGAGGATACAAAAAAAAATTAAGTTTCCAAAAATTTATCAACACCAAAAAGTGAAGTCTTATTTTAGTACAAATAAGGGGAAAATATACATTTTTTTTTTTCTAAATCAGCACATATTTACTTTATACCCAGGGGAAGAATGCCATTCATTTCTCATAAGTTATACAAGGAGTCAATGGCAGGTGTTAAGCATGAGATAGAAACGAAAAATCTTCAAAGCAATAACAGACACAAGAAACACATCCCAAAGGGAAATAGGAGAACCACAGAAAAGAAATCAAGTGAAGTGGATACAACTTCACAACTAGTGCAAATCCCTCAGGAATTCTCCTAATACGAACCATTAAAGCCATGTGTTTAACATTTGATAAATCTAAGTTCTTATTTGTCAAATGGGGAAGCTTCAGGCACAGCAAGCATTAACCTGATCCATAAAAGGCATTAAATTGTCTGTCTTTGCATTTCATTGCATAATGACTTCACAAACATGCACATCCAAATCTTGCTTCTATGTTCATTCTTATAAGTCAAATAAATAGATGACTTTCTTATTTGAACATTAGGTTCAAGGAGCTCATTCTTTACAAAGATGGTTACTGAAATAAATCATGGCCATGTCTACATAATAGAAACATTGGAACAATCTCTTCCATGCTTTGCTCCACACACCCTATTTTCCTCAATCAACATGACATTCTAAAAGGGTTCAATGAGAAAATGAACTTCTCTGGTATCTTCACAGCAGATTTGTTACCAAGCATGTTTCACTCCTACTGAGAAGTTGCCAGAAATAAAAATAGAGAGATGAGTAATAGGAATGTATGTGTGATGGTGTGACCCAGAACTTAGAAAATGGACGTGGAGAGTATTGTTCTAGATGTTTCATTAAGTGGCCTTCAGAAAGTCACAGTCTTATTTTAGATTTCAGCTCCTCATCTATAACATGAAATTGTTGACTAAACAGTCTTTAAGGCCCTGCCATCTCTAACACTGTATTTCTAAATTATCCCAAGCTGCCATTAAACAGAAAGAGGATGAGCTAAGATTGTAAATTCTAGGGCATCGGGCTGTCCATCCCCTGTCCCTGTCCAGATACAGGCACTTGTTGCATACCAGGAGGGATGGTGGTAAATCCTTAACAAAATATTTACTCATTCAATGCACATAACAACTCTATAAGAAAGATTTTGTCATTCCTTTCCTCTAGTTTACAGATGAGGAAAAAGAAAAATTAAATACCCTGACACAAACTCTATATTGAATTCAGTATAATAATCCATAACAACTCCTCTACTGTCTTCCAATCAGACAGATAAAGAAACAATTCTGCCAAGGAAGAGAAAGCTCAACCAAGCCCTCTGAAATAGCTCAAATAGTAAATAAAGTGATTAAGAGTCTTATTTG